TGTTCGCAAATAGTTAAGGATGTGGGCTGTTCTAGTTTTAGGGAAATGCGAAGTTTAGCTCAGGATAGGAAAGAGTGGAGGTACGTGTCCAACCAGTCTTAGGACTGACGACCTTATGATGATGATGATAAGCAACCTCTAACCGCTGCACTGTTTACTATTATCTCTTTTCACAAGGGCGTGTTCAAGACATAGCAGACGACTACAGTCTCAAGTGAAAATAAGAAAGAAGATACGTCCATTCTCACAGATAATTTACTGCGTACTTTGCCAATTTTGATTGTCGCAATTATATACATAAATAAATACAGGTACCCTGAGAACATCCGTTTTCTTTTTATGTAAGCCTCTCTATCAAAACTTATTCCTTTTGGGCGGAATCCGTCTCTGGTCAGCTTATGGCTGGATTGGCTATAAACTCGGTTAAGATACCATCTTTCAGCGATGAATTAAAGTCTTTACACTATTTTTTTTACTTTAATTCTATTTTAAGAGACTCTGTGTGTTGTGTAGTGCTAGATTGGCGTCTTTGCAGTTGCTTTCTCACTTTCTTGTGTTGATCCTGTAGCAAGAAGATCACATGAACAAGAAGAAAACTAGAACAAGACGTTTGTGAGACATAAATTGTGGGTACAATTATTTTAAATCCAAGTTGATCCAATAAAAACCAATTAAAATTATTGAACTTCGGTTGGCCGTTTGATTCAGTTTAAACAATACCCGTCAGTCTGGAAACTATTTTAATCTTCTAGTGTTACTATCTGGACCGTAAAATTGACGTTTAGACCGTTTATATAATGTCGTCTCTTCGGTAATCGATTGCCAAATTTCAATGATTTCTCATTTAAAAATCGAATCGCAATTACAACCAGTAATTACTGATTAAAAACTCATTATGACTTTTTGTACTTACTTGCAGGTGTCGACGTGAGAACTTGAACATACAAATCGAAATTGACATTATGCGAAAGTTTTATTGATCAATAAAAAATGTTTTTAGTAAGAGACAATTGAACATTAATGGTTTTATTAGAAGAGTGTATTAAGAAATGCAATTTTTGTGTTTTTTTCACTTTTAATAATCTTTCTGGCATATTTTCTTTCAAAACTTTTCTTTATATCTTTTTCTGGTTATAATTCTCTCACATTGAGGATTTTGTAAATATTCATCATTATCATAAGGTGGTCAGTCCTAAGATTGGTTGGACATGCACCTCCACTTTTCCCTAATCCTGAGCTAATCTTCGTATTTCCATAAAATTAGAAAATCCTTAACTATTTGCGAACAGTAATCTAGTCTAGGTGTACCTCTTTTCCTCTTAACTCCTTTTTCTGCTTTTAATATGTCTCTGATTAGCCCTTCATGCTTAAGTAGCTATCCTACTAACCTAAATCGTCTATTTCTAATTGATTTATGTACGTAGAGTCCTCTGTTCTCCTACTCCTTCTAATACCTCTTCATCATTCGCCTGTAACACCACTTTTCAAACGCTTCTGATCTTTTCTCTTCCGCCGTGTCCACCGTCCATGTTTAGCACCCGTACAGCGCCGAGTTGCAGTTATACATATTTAATAATCCTTGTAAATATTACTCATAAAATAAAATGATGTATCTATATCTGACTCATCATCATCATAAGGTCGTCAGTCCTAAGACTGGTTGGACACGTACCTCCACTCTTTCCTATCCTGAGCTAAACTTCGCATTTCCCTAAAACTAGAACAGCCCACATCCTTAACTATTTGCGAACAGTAATCTAACCTAGGCCAACCTCTACCCCTCCTGACTTCTGTTTCTGCCTCTAAAAGGCCTGACTAGACCTTCATGTCTGAGAAGGTGTCCTACTAACTTATCTCGCCTATTTCTTATTGACTTCCATAGAGTCCTCTATTTCTCATTTCTAACCTTTTCTACCCACGTTACCCTCATAATTCGCCTATAACACCACATTTCAAAGGCTTCTAACCTTTTTTTCCGCCGCGTCCACTGTCCATGTTTCGCACTCGTACAACGCCGCGCTCCAAACCTACACCTTTAACAATCTGTTTCGAATTTCTGAATTAACCGTTCGCGAGCATAGACGTGACTTCTTTTTATTAAAGGAGACACGACCCTGCGCTATCCTCTGCTTTATATCTCTACTACTCCTTCCGTCTTGACTTATCTGACTTCCTAGATATCTAAAATCAGCCACTTCTTGTAATTCTATTCTGCTATGCTCTGCTGCTATAAAAAAAACAAAAGAAACAATCAGCATATTATCAGGATTTCAAAATATTCCCCACTCATTACGAAACGAGGCGAATGTTTCAAAATATTGATGTGTGCTGGTCAATTCTAACGCCAATTTACAACTCGGCGACAAAATGCACTTTGACTCCTCCTATAAAGGAAAAATTTTTTGGGTTTTGAGGCGAAAATATTCAAGCTAAAACGACTAGAGACTGGGGCAAATGTGTAATTAAAGAACTTGGGTCAAGTTGCTGCATGGCATGTGCGCATCCTATTTGACATTCGTGCAAGTGGCATTAGTTTACGGTTAGTGTTTGAAAATAGGCAATACTGAAATTGATGCGCAGTCGCTTATCGCGCAGCGACTCTTTGCGTTTTCTGTTCCTCTCTACGCTCAACTTTTTTCATACCCAATGGCTTCGTGTTAGGTTATGTTTCTGTACCTCTATCCAGTCTTCTTAAAACCCGGCACCATTATCCGCTGCGTGGTCGGATTCTGAAGAAAGTTCTGGATTTACCGATACTGAATCCATATCTGGTTTCTAGTTGAAACAGTTGTTAGACCAGAATTGGATTACGTTGGAAATGACATCTATGGTATTAGTTTCTTGTTCTAAGTTGATGAGTGGAATTTATGAGTTATACTGAACCCTCTGTTTTTAAATATATACGCATGAGGAAACTCTCCCGCTATTCTCTCTCTTGGACTTCCTTTGTTTTTGTTTATTTGAATTGTTCATGCTCATCGAATATGTTTTGTACATATGAATTGAATTACGATCAATAAAAATTTTTAGATTGTGTTTTTCTTTGCAGCATGAGCTTCCCTTTAACATACAAACCGCAGCAATTATATCGATGGCGACCAGCTCCGTCGGTGACTCCTGTGAAGGGCTTGCCTGGTGAAAAGGGCAAGCCGGTGATAATACCGGCCGAAGAGGAGGGTCTGATGAAAGAAAAATTCACAATCAATCAGTTCAATGTTATGGCTAGCGATATAATTTCCCTCAACAGATCGTTGCCAGATGTTCGACTTGAAGGGTGAGTTGATTTTTTTTGTGTTTAGTGGATTTAAGTATAATTTTTTTGAATAAAAAAACAGGTGCAACTCAGTCAAATTTTTTTCGGTTCCGTTTATTTTTCCAAGTGCTTGAGAAACCGTAAACTATCAATAACTACAAGGAATTAGAATTAATATATAATAATTGTATCCGTTAAATGGGCATACACCATCTGGTGGTAAAATTTATAACTCGAATGAGGGAAAAATTTACATAGTAACTGTGCACGCATGTTGTAAAATTGTTTATTAAAATAATAAAACACGTTAAAAAAGTAAAAATGTTTTTGATGATGGAGTCGACGAAGTTTTCTTCTAAAGTTAAATCAAATAAAACGTTAATATGTTCAGTGAAAAGCTGCAATAGCACTTCAGACATAGATCTTCACTCTTCACCTACATTAACTACTTTCCAATAAAAACTAACCGTTTTATATATGTAAAAAATATATTCGGAAAATTAGAGAAAAAAGTAAACTAATAGAAGCTTGGATGAAAGCAGTAGGTATCAAAGAAGTGAATTCCGGAATAAAAATTTGTTCACGTCATTTTAATGCACATGATTATATTTCAGCAAGTATTTACCATCAGCCATAACCTTAATATTTAAAACTAGAATCATACTAAAATTATAAAGTGAGAAATTATTTATTCCTGTGTAATTGATTTAACACAATTCTAATGATACGATATAAGTATTTTGAGGTTAAGAACCTACCTGCTGCAATACAACAAAGTTGCAATAATGTGTTTGCAACGTTCTCTTAAATCGGCTTTGCACGTGCAAGTCATTGATATGATATTGCTTAAATCACCCAGAATCACCTCACCAATTATATAACGTGAATCACTTTTTAAATCCGAAGTTTGTAAAAAGTAGGCAGTAAACTTGACGGAATTTGAAGGCTAGCTTCCGGATTTGTTATTTCCGAATTTTATAATGTGATTGGCATTAAAAACACGCTCACCTTCAACGAAATTTCCTTTCCGAGGCTTTGTGTCAGCCCAATCACATATTGTGTCAATACTTATCATTTTATCGTAATTTAAAAACTTGGAAATTGCACGGTACACTATAGGAACTACGATAAATTTTCCCTAATCGGCGCCATGTTTTTAGGCTCCTCCCATTTGACGGATCCCAATACCCACTCTTAAATCAATATTAGTTGTTGTTAAATAAACATTTAGTGTAATACAATTACTGTAATTTAACTGCACAGATATAACCAAAACATTAATTTAGCACTATAGTGTAGTGAATATCACTACATAGTATAAAACAAAGTCGCTTTCCCGCTGTCTGTCCCTATGTATGCTTAAATCTTTAAAACTACGTAACGGATTTTGATGCGGTTTCTTTTAAAAGATAGAGTGATTCAAGAGGAAGGTTTAATACATGCATAATATAGTAAGAAAACACTGATAATTTTAGAGGTTTCTAATGTGATGTCGTAAATAAACACATTTATTGCGCTTACATTGCAAACGCTGGCTGAACCCTACAAGATAGATCAAAATAATGTACTACAATATTGTACATCTTAAAAGGGTCTACAAAAATGTCTGGGATGGTATATGTCTATCTCTTAGGAATAACCCACAATAACCATTTTTATCCTTTATTTTTTATGAGAAATAATGACTTATTTACGAAGCGATTGCAGGCAATACAGCATTAATTCTTATCCAATTAAGTACTTAAGTACATGTAATTTAAATGAATATTTTCGAAGATATTACAGATTTAAAATGCAGGGACATAGCGGTTGTGGCGGTACCAGCCGGGTGGCCGGTTTGTATTGTCTAATGACAAAAAAAACTGCGAATGTTGTATATAAAGACATTCTGTAGTATATTTAGTATGTTCAGGGGATATCTTTTGAAGATTTCCCCTTTTCGATATTAATCTATACAAAACAAAAATATATTTAGTATCAGCATTGCACCCGTGCGAAGCTGGGGCGGCTCACTAGTACAGTATACAATAAAATATGAGATGCCGGTCACTAACAGCTGACTGTCATACTGACATGCGCATGCTTGCCATTCTATTCTCATAGCCTATGGCGTCGCGAGACAAAACGTTGCAAAACGTGTCGTTTCATGGCCTTGAGGTTTTACTCTCATCGAGCCCAAAGAAGTTTCACTTTAAAAAATCCGTAATGTCTGTTGGAATTGGTATATTTCGTTAGATCTGATGGACCAGTCATTCCTAATTATTAAAATTGGATAAAATGCTTGAAGAAAAGAATTTTAGTGTACATATCCTAGTTTTTATGATGAAAGAAGTAGGTAGTTAGTTCTATCTGCGGTAACGCTGGATTGAACAAAATTTCATTTTTTAAAGGTGTTACTTTGAATTTTAAGAAACCAATTATAACATCTGAAAAGTCAGAAAAAGTCTATTAATCCCTTTAATTGATCAGCGATAGATAATTTTTTATCATTTCTTATGAATAAAAATAATGAAAGGTATATTTGATTGACAATTATCGGCTGATAATTCGTCAGGTAAAATAAATGATTGGTCAGTTCAAGTTTTTTGAAAAAACAATAATTGGCATCAACAGTGATGCGCGTGACATAATTCCAGATACCCTTTGTACTGTTTCTATTTTTCATAACTATACTCATGCTATAATAACAGTACCATTATTCATTTTTGGTTTTTTCTTAGCCTACATTTTTTTAATTATCATTAAAAGGCTGAGAATTAAGAAATTACTATACAGCTAAGGCAGAACGTTCACCGAATATAGTAATTACTTTTTTGCTTTTTATGTCCTACCTACTATTAAAAATGCATAATTTCGTGAATGTGTGGAATATGATTTTTTGAACCACGTCTATCAGAAAATATTACCTGGTCCTTTGAAAATTTCCATTTATGCTAACGGAATTCTTAAAATTTTTAAAAACTTTACATTGTATCGTCATTAGTGTATTTAGACTGTTCCGCAGTTAAACAAATTCACAGGTAATAGATTTCAAAATCTCCTCGTAATTCCCGGTTTGTAATTACCCTGAATTACGTAACCTTCAATTTTTGTAAATAGCCAGGCAACTAATCAACTTTTGTAATGTCATTTTAATTTGTGTGCCCCTTCCCTGCCGACAGATTCCGTTTTTCACAATCTTCTTTAGCATATCGTTCTTACGGTTTATTTGGCTGACTACCCAAATTATTGTGTGACAGACTTAATTGTCTTTCGACCGACATCGATTGTCTGACATAACAATGTCCCATCGCAATCAGATTTTAATAGTATAAGCTGAAAAACGGCGCTTATTTCGGTATTACAGATAGATATTTCTGTTTTATGTACCTAAATGTATAGATGCATACATATACATTATTATTTTGTTAGTGAAAGTAAATGTTTTGGCAATGAACCAGAAAATTAAGGCATTCTCGGATGGACTTTGGCTGGTGATAATAACAAAGAGACTTGCTCGGTCGCGGCTCGCTTCGATCATTAAGTTTAGAAAAAAAAAAAGGCAAAATTGGAAAATAGCCGGTCCGGGAATGGCCCAATTGCACGAGCGATCGGCGAAAAGAAATAAATTTTTGTGGTTTCACTTTCAGTTTTTATGTTACATCATAGCAGTTGTTTTTCATACATAAAATAAGAGTATGTAAATAAGAATGAAAGTGATCAATATCAGAGTTAAAAGTCGAACAAATATACTGAGCGTTCTGTATGTATTTAAATATCTTGCTAATTATAACGATTTCGACTACATTCATTAACATAGGTACAATTTTATTGTACCCTGCAGTCAAAATACCCTTCTTGATCCTTGTTCCTTAAATTTTAGCATTCCAATTTCCTACACGTTTTCAATAAAGATGTAGTAATAACGTGTTTTGTAATAAAGGTTTGTAGTGTATTTTAAAAATCTAAAATAGATTCGGACAACTACGTTCTACAACTATTACGTTGACGATGAGTATATTTGTTGCTAATGGTTAGATAATTGACTATAGGCAGGTGGTTGGACACAGCTGTTTGTTGCAATTTACAATCGATTTTCATTGTTTCGTTGTAACAAGTTACTAACGATAACAGATAATTACACTTATAATTATAAGTAAGTAGAGTTTTCTTTTGTTCAAAATATTTTACGGAATAATACCCAAGAATAACGAAAAAATTAAGAAAATAATCCGTCAATTTTTTGTTGCACTGGATAATGTTACAGACAAACGTACATCATGAACAGACTAAACCTTCGCTTATAGAAACAAATGCCCATTGGCTTTAAAAATCGATATTGCGCTATTTCTGTAATTCCCAGATATTGCATGTACATATTTGGTACTTCTCCAATCGTAGGAGATTTTATGTATTTATCCAAAAATATGGTGTCGCAAAATATATAAGTTGTAAAGTAAAACAAAAAAGGGAACTACTTCTAAATCTGTGAAAGATACATACTATAATGTCGCACCAGTTAATTAAACGAAAAAGATGCGACACTTATTGTGTATAAATGTATAATGCATGATTACTTGTAATCATACGATTAATTCATTTATCTTATTATTATCATATGTGCTGCCACATACACTACGTACTGAGAACCATTTTTGAAATTTGTAATATATAAAAATACAATACTGACTAATAGTTTGATTAAAAATTTTGAGGATTATGCAAAAAAAAATAATTGCAAGCAATTTTTTTAAATTTCAAAATTTAGTAATTTTTAAATGGCTGTAACTAGTCTTTTTGTAAGAGTTTTGTAAAGCTCAAATACTCAACTTTGAGAATATGAAACGGTTTTTTGGAAAAAACTGCGTAAATTATGTGTAAATTCAATTTAAAACAAAAAAGAATTTTTCCTATGTTAGTTAAATGGGAAACTAAAATAAAAATAGCGATCCCTTAGATTTGAGCTATAGGGCTCATGTTTGGCGAGGATTTTTTTTTTTACATCAAAGAGAAACATTTGAGGGGTTAAGAGTTAAAAATTT